TGTCCTTGTGCGGCAGTTCACAGCAGTGAGATCCAAAATTCTCATATTCGTATTTTCTGGCTGTTTTTTTGGGAAATCTTTCTGCCCAGGGATACACTCTTCAATCAAAAACCACTCCATTAAGAAAAGATACCAGTTTGAAGATTTTTTTCGACTGCAATAATTCTAGTCCATTCGTTGCTTGAGTGCTCTTTTTGTTTGTTTGTGTCAGGTGCATCAGGATGTAGCATTTATGCAACTGAAAAACTTTATATGTAGATATGTCATTTGCAGAATTGCATTCCATCTCAAATCATATCTGGGGAAATTCAAACTCAATCAAAATGGCAGCTTTATGATAGTCTTGATGACGGGTTATTGCACAACTCGTGTATTGCATGGCAGCTTATCTATTTTCATACGCAGATATTGCATTTCATTGTGATATCAGCACCATTCACGTTTTTACCCTCAAGTAATCAAGCACCTGCTCTTCTCCGTTTCTATTCACTTGAACTCAAATGATGTGTTCATGCGGATTCACTTTTTTTTTCCTTTTCGTTAGAATGATTGCACTACACTCACCTTTTATGCACCTGTCTCTCATGTCAGTCCGATGTGTTCCGTCGTGCTGCGAAATTTCAGAGATATCCACGAAAGTTCGATCTCTTGCCAAGCTCCTGTTTCAGTTCCTGTTTCTGTATTCAGTANAGTTCCATCGATGATAGCCTAATCAAGATCAAAAGTGCGGTTAACCGGTAGATCAACATTGCTACTTCAAGGGCCCGTCGTCAAATCCTGTGATGAAACTGGTCGATGGGCTGGTTCCGCACCGGGTATCTACGAAAATCCATGGGGATGGACAAACTATACTAACTGCTTCATCCTTAAACTCGAAGACCTCAAGGTTTCCATAGAAATTTCTTGTTGACCAATTTTGAACCTCCTAACATTTGCTCGTTGCAAAACATTAACTGATTTTTTTCGTGCACTCGAGCATGTGATATCCTGAACGAACTTTGTCGTGCATTGTGAAACGTTCCTGTTTTGTTGTGCAGCTAGAGAGCTCGTGCGATGATAACAATAGAGAAATGCAGTTGAACGTTCATCTCACTGAACTTTATTTTTGATGCTGTTACCCAGTGCTTACGATGATCCGCTTACAACCTGTTCTGCTATTTTTGAGGCTGATCAGGCCTATTTCGTATCCGTCTGTTCACACGCTGAGTTGTTGGAAAATTG